ATTGGGGTGGAGAGTGGGGGAGGGGAAATTTTAGGGGTGCAAGTCGGGTTGTCCCGAGTTAACAGTTTACACTGTTTCGGGCTCARGCTTTAGGTTGGGYCTATTGAAATTTTGACAAAATCCCAACCCTAACCTGGAAAAGTTGCACTCCTAGGAAATTTACATGGAATAGTGGGGATTTTTGGGCCATAGGGGGCCATGGCTCCCCTGGGTCCCCCCTGTCTCCACCCCTATTCTTTTGATATAAAGACAAAGCTCAACCTAAACTTGGCCTAAATTAGATAAATAATGTTTTTAACTTAATAAAATAATAGATGTTTATTAATGGCATCATTACAAATAATTAGATATTTAGCAACAATTATGGAAGAGGGATTTTTAGCAATTTTTTAATAAAAATAAATAAATAAAATTATTTAACTCAATAATATAAATATATAAATAATTATGCAATAAAATGAGAAAAAAAGAATTAAAATTTCCTAATTGTGCTTTGGGCTTTATATGAGGGTCAGCCTCAAGCTTAAGGTCTAGGCTTGATGGCCAGCCCAGGCTCAGACTTGGGCTTGAATATGTTTTGTTGATATGAAGGCAAAGATCGACTTGAACCTGGCACAAACCGTGAATCGGTTTAATCCCAACTGAGACCTAACCTATTTGATAGCCCTAAATATTAGGCTCGGGGAGAGAGAGAGAGAGAGAGAGAGAGAGAGAGAGAGAGAGAAATAACTTATTAGTTAAATATTGTTCATGGGTTGAATTAAATAAATAAAAATTTATGGAGAATTATTTATTTCATCTATTAAAACAAATAACCGACTAATTTAATTTAGTAAAGTAAATAAATAAAATTTCAATTATTATTGGGACAAGACATGTATAGCCTATCCGACAACATAACTAATCCATTGATAGASTTAAAAAGGGAGAGAGAAAGAGAAATACTTTGTTCATAAATTAAATCATTAATTAATTGAATAATTTAGTTAAGTAAAAAAATAAAATCTATGGATAATAATATACTAA